ACTCTCAGCTGCTTTAGCTGATGAGTGGAGTTTCATTTAAAATGCATGAATGCTGACTCAGAAGGAGCAGTATTTTATGATGCAAATCTGTAACATTTATATTTCAGTTGGAGCTGCAAATATCAGGTTTATATACTCTTTATAGATATTTTATATTAATGCTGCTCAGATTTATTCTAATTTACTTTTGGAAAAAAAACACATATATTAGCAAAACTGCACTCTAATCACACCACTGGTCACATTGTTTTTGCACCGTAGGCCAATTTTGGCCCCTCAAAGCAAATTAACCGGCCCTCAAGAGCCAAAACAGGCATATGGTAAAGTTACATGTTTGTTAGATTACATCCATCCATTTTCCATCACGCTTATCCCAAGCAGGGTCACAAGGGTTGCTGGTGCCTATCTCCAGCTGTCTACAGGTGAGAGGCAGGGTCCACCCTGGACAGGTCACCAGTCCGCCGCAAGGCAACACAGAGACAAACAGGACAAACAAACATTCATGTACACACTCACACCTAAGGAGAATTTAGAGTAGCCAATAATTTTAGATTACAATATGGCTAAAAAAGCATAATAAAATTGAAGCAAATTAAAATAATGGACCTGTGGACATTTTGTAAATAAAATTAGGAAATCAAAAGTTTCATTTAAAAATCTATGTTTATCCCCGTTTAAAGACCTAATGACACAGTGGTGACAGAAACGTTAACTAGTGTTGCACCAATACCAATACCAGTATCGTGTGGGGCCTGATCCAGCCCTAAAATGGTGGTATATTGAGAGTAAAAAGTTTATTCAACTATTGTCACCCATTAGAAGTAGGCAATAAAAAGTTCTACTGGATTTACTTTGTATTAGTCTGTTTCCTGCTTCACAAAGGTAGGGAGCAGCTTGACAAAGTATGTAGTTCTTCATATATACACACACATCCAACACATGGTATCGGCAGTGTTGTGGTCAAGACCACCTAACCCGAGACCAAGACAAGACCAAGAGTAGAGTGTATCGAGACCGACACAGGACCAAGACTTTTAGGGTCCGAGACCGAGTCAAGACCAAGACCTGCGCCAATATGTGACAATAAAATGTGAAACATGCTTAAAATCACTAAAATTGATCTAAAAGACCCGCATTCACATAAAAACACCTAGATATTTAGCACACAACTGGAACATCTTTTAAGTAATAAGTTGGACGTAGTCCCTACCGTCTCTGATAGTGAAGCACTGCAGAACTTACATTGCTCTGTATGTTTTTTTTTTTCTCAGTGTTGCTTTACAAATATATTCTTTGTGATTTAATGAGTCGAATTTCATAACCAATGATTTGGCCGACATCTTATTCCGTTCTCAGACAACCACTTGTGACTTTCAATCGAAGTGCTGCTGCCCGGGCGCAGGTGAAAGGGGGTGAGCGTGACAGCGGTAAAAAAACAAAAAAACAAAAAAAACATGCATTTCCCAATGAGACAGGTTATTGCTTGGATTTGAATCCAAGCATCCTATAAAAAGAAGGATCTTAAAGGAACTGATAATATTGTGATGATTAGCGTTATTTCCACAGTTGTGGTCTTGACCAGTATTGAAATAAAATGCAGAGTCCTCAGCGCCCGAGACCGAGACAAGGCCGAGACCAAATGCGGTGAAGTCCGAGACGAGACCGAGACCATCAAAAAATGGTCTCGAGACCAAGACCGATCTCGACTACTACAACAATGGGTATGCTGCTGCCCCGCCGCACCACAGTCGGGCCCGTCTTCATCATCCACTCAGAGAACCACTGGTTAGCGCGCACACAGACTTTGTAGCTTGTCTGGTCACTTAAAAATGGTAATTGTGAAATCCGTGTTGTAATCGGCAGCATACAAGCTAGTTAGCTTAAAAAGTAAATAAAGTTTCAGACGTGCTGCGTGATGATGTGTTCAGGTTGGCTCAGTAAAACGACAATTAGGTTATCATGATGCGTTCAAGTGTAACGTAAAGAAAAGGGAAATTGAGTTTTTGGCGAGAAACATGAGTAATACAGTTGTATATTGCTGTAATTATTTTACAATATATAATTAAACTACTGATGCCAACATTTATTAAAAATTACATTTAATTTAAAATAAAATTATTTATTTGATAAATATTTTCCTAATCTCTAAAAACCTGATGAAAAGTGACAGACATGTTAATTTTTCTGCAAAAAAATACCTGTTAATTTATGGGCTGATATTTTATTTCCTTTTTTTCTGACACAGCATATTATTCATTTAATTTATATACATTATGACATTTTATTTTTCATTTGGTGCTGCTGATATATTCTAGTTAGTTTTATGTCATTTAGAAGTGGCCTATTACATTAGCCATGTTTACTGAAGGCTAGTGTATCGGCCAATAGTGCAGAGCCAGGTATTGGGGCCAGAAAATGGCAGCGGCGTAACACTAACAGATGTCAACTCTGGTGGTTGTGTATAATATGAGGGTATTTACTGAAAAAAATCCAAGATCACACCATGAGAGCAGATTTATATCAGAAGCGGGTGGCCCTGCTTAAACAAGTTCGCTTTTGGAATGTCTACTCTGAATAAGTTCTTGCTTTCCCTTAACTGAATGCGTTGATTTTGCCGCCATGTTTAATCTCCCGTCACAACCTTCCTTTCCTACTGATGTGTAGGTTTGACCAAAAGAGACCTCTTTCTTTTCAAGTTTTAAACTACAATACGTACACCAGCCACTCTGTCAGGTGCAACTTGACCATGTTGAACTTCCTGCATGGCATAACGTCAGTGGGATTTTGGTCCACATTGACATGATAGCATCAAACAGTTGAAACAGATGTAGGTTGAACATCTAATAGGAGAATCTTCTAAAGGTGCTCTGTTGTACTGAGGTCAGGTATTTTCCAGGAAGTAACCAACAGAAGACTGAGGTCATTAAGGGAATAGAAATTCTCACCAGAGGCAGGATATAGGCATTAAGCATGGGTAAAATGATCCAAAGTATCATTTAGCCCAGATCATGATACAACCACCACAAGCTTGCACTACTTATAGGAATTTGGCCAGAATATAATGAGGTTTAATCCAATAAAAAAGACAAAGCAATGGTTAAAATAGTGGCAATAAATTATCAATATTCTAATTGTTGGAAAATATCATTAAGATCTTCAATATTTTGTAATTACAAAATTTTTAAGCTATATAATTTGGTGTATTATTTGAATTAACCTCTGTATAACTTATGACTACGTGATATTTATGTTTTAGGATGCTCAGATATTCATCAGGATATTAACTGTTATTTAGACAAAGAGGACCAGATCCAGGAAACAGACACTTCTGTATGACAAAAGAGGGGAGTGTTTATTTTAAAATGTGGTCAGGAACATAGAGGCAGAGAGAAGTGAAGAAAATGGAAGAAAAGGGATACATTCCTTGTTTTATTCCAATGTTGGCTCCATCTGGGGATATTTTCTGCAGGACTTTGCTCTGTTGAACTCCTTACTGCAAGTAAAAAAACCTGTGATCTCAAAAAGTCGGGTGTCTGTTTGTCTTAGTGAGCTGAATGCTGGATTTTCACCGACATCATCTGTTGAATGGCGCCATGACCTGCATATAGATTTCTAAACTGTATTTATAATTTGATAAACCGGTTCATGTTGGCGCTTTGAACCTCCTGAATGATTTAGTGGTGAACTATGGACATGAATTCATACATTTTAAACCGGTTGAGTGGAGCTGGGAGCAGCTTCTTGTTCAGCCCAACACTGATTGCAGCTGGTTGTAATGCAAATATTAGTCACTGCCAAACGCAGCAATGTCCTGTGGTGGTACTTTTCCTTACTGTTTGCTTCAGGAAAACTTCTCTTCACAACACAAGGCAAAATAAGGTGAAACCAGGGAAACTGTCAGCTATCACTGATTGATGACTCATAATGGACCACATTGTTAGACAGGTTTTTACTAAAGCATGCCAATGGTTTGTGAGAAAAATGTCTCCATCTGTCTAATATTTTTCAGGAAGAGCTGATCAGAAAGATGAAACAACCCATTCAGGGATCATCACTAGAAGTCTGAAAGAATGAAGGGATTTGAAAAAAAGAGAAAGGAGTAAAGAAAATGTGAATATTTAAAGCAAATTCTCAAAATAGAACAACAGCTTCATTAATTGGCTGATTAAAATCAAGATGGATTCAAGATGGGTTAAAATTTTCTAAATTGATCTCAGTTTTCTGGGTTGGAAAGAGAGCAGTAAAGTTTGCCAAAAAATTATCTAAACTTGGTCTAAAATCAACATGACGGACTTTAACTTTGCTTTTTCTTGCATCATTCAGGATCGTTTCAGCCTATTTTTAATGTCAGACACATTTTTTACTCGGCATGTGGAGAAAGCGTTGAGTTTAAATAAACCTGAAGTTGCTTTCCTGCCTCTGGATTTATTTATTTTTTGGGGGAAATAAATACCATTCTGAATAAAACCATGCTGACATCTTCCCTCATGCCATCAGGAATGGTGTTAACAGATGCGTAGGAGACGGGTGAACAAATCCAGTGATTATTTATTCTGTTAGAAAGCTAATGAAAGAAGGAACAAAGCGTGCCTGGCATTAAAGGAAGCCAATCAAAATGAGAGTCATCTTCTTTTTGAGGCGACCAGAAAAGCTTGACCCACGCTTAAGCCAGCTATCGAGTTTTCTTTAGGGATTTAAATATTTTAACGAAGTTGCATTTCTCAGATCTAGGAATCAACTGACAGGGTCTATTATCCAGATTTCATACACAACCTGAAGTTATTGTCTTTTAAAACTGCTCTCTGAGCTCCATAAGAGCAAATGTAAGGTTCAGGCAATGACTTCTGGGTCTGTCTATTATCAGTCAGGATGGGTGAGGTATGAAACTGTTGCTGGCATTACTGTCTGGGAAAGTTCTCGGTACCTGGGGATGTGCGGAGGAAATTAAAGGAACAAACACAGAGGTTTACAAAATTCCAAAGACCTTTATGCCAACGTACCTCAAGGCGATCGGCGTGCAACACGATGAACCTCGTGGCGTTGACACACTCCAGCTCAATGCTGACCTCTCCAGAGAAGGTGAAGTTCTCCATGTAGACTGCAAGCCGCAGGTCATAGTGCCGGGGCCTCACCGTGCCCGGAAGCCGGGAGTTTTTCCAAGGCTGGACCACCTCTTCGTCCCCTCTGTCACCCGTCCTCTCCCCTCTGCTCCCGTTGAGTCTCCCTCCAGACCCTCTTGAGCCCGTCTCCCCTCTACCGGCGCTGCGATCCTGTTCGCCACAGTCGTCAAAGCGGAGGCTGAGCGCCACGGCCACCGCCGTCACGATTATGAGAGTGATGATGGAAAGGGCGAACCCCAGAACCAGGCGCTTGTGAACAGTGATGTGGCGCTCTGTGGTCCGAGGTCGGACCACTACCGACTCTGCCCACTGGTCGGTAAGGCCTCGGCCGTTCCGCATGGCACCGGGGCTGCTGTCGTTGAGACCCATTGTGTCTTAAATGTTCCTAAGGAAACCAGTTCAGAAAAGCAGTCATCTACTCCAACTGGAGTAGTTTCCAGATGATCTGAGAGTAGATCGAGATGAGCGTCTACCTGCAGTCTTATGTTGGAACTTCAGCAGGTATGACTTCTGACCCTACTGTCTGAATGTTAGAAACGTCCTCAAGATCCGACCCCTTCTTACATTTCAGCCAACAAACCTGACAAGTCAGGATGGATGAGGTGGTCGTGTGCGTTTTAGCTTTGCGGTGAGAGTAAAATCAATGCCTCATGGCTCGATTTCTCCTGTACGGGACACTGAGAGGGAGAGAGAGATGATGAGGAGGCGGAGGAGGTATGCTGTTGACGATGTGGATGTACAGTGGGAGCACCATCCACAGACCTGCACAACCAGCTGCCAAAGCTAAATTGGAATTCTACACATGATTGTTTTTTTTTTAATTCCCTCACAGAAGTTGACTATAAAAAGAATGAAAATAAAAATGTTCAGCTGAGCTGCACAGTCCGATATAAGAGGTCATCAACCAAAGCTCAACCAAACGCAGGAGATTCAAAGCTGCGGCTTATTGTCCTCAGGTGGCAGTAAAGTTAATTTGTTCTGAGTTAAAGCTCCTCCAGACCTGCAATAAAGCATAAATAAACCCCATTCGGACCCTCCTGGGCTTAATATGATGACACAGCTGGAGAATGAAATGTCTTGCCGAACATTAAGGTTAGAGAGAAGCTGTGGAGTCAGGGATTTTAAATTGGATCAAAATTACTGACACAGTTTCCATCATAAATATATTTGAACAGAGAAAATATTTTGCTTGGTAGATTTGATCATTTAAACCGTATTTTTGGAGCGGTATTGCTGCTCAGATATTAAATCTGAACAATTTTCGAATGTTGCAGTTTTAACGTCTCTGCCCTTATTAGTAATAATCAGAGCTGTTACTGCTAATATGTGGTGCTTAATAAGCCTCACTGCAGGCTCTGGCTCACAGTTTCTTCTCTGGAGAGGTTTAAGTGGATAATTTACAGCCAGCATGTGGGTTTATTTCACCGAGGAGATCATTCACTCTTCCAGCCTCATGTGGGTGATGGATTGAAATGGGATTAGAATCGATCGATGATCAGGATTAAAACCAACTAAAAGGAGTTCAGAACTGATTGATCACTGGGGTTATAAATAATCAATGAATAGGATTAAAACTGACTGATAACTGGGAATTAAAAAAGGCAAACTGGATTTAAAATGTATTGAGACGGGATTAGAGTTGATCGATAGCCAGGATTAAAATACTGGATTAATTATTGAACTGGTTTCAAACTGTTCAAACCTGAAGATTGGCTTTGAGTAAAACATATAGGAACAGCCTTCTAATTGATTGATAATCGGGATTGGAGGGGATTATAAGCAACTGAAGCCAATCTGAGCTCAAATAGCTGGTTGAAATTAGGAAGATTTATCATTTAACTTTCATGAAGGTGATCAGGTCGATACTGAGCGCCAAGATTGTTTAATCAGATGTAAAAAACAAAATGTATTTAATAGTAATAATACAAAAAAATCCTCTGGGAACTTCTATTTTTTCCTTCTGATGGGTCTGTTCGGAATTATTCGGCTAATTTCGGGTAAGGAGACCTGTGCGGTCCAGGGCAGATTTGCTCCCCAACACCTGCTGTGCTGCCAGCGGTTGGGTCCCCCCCTCCTCGGTCCCTGGGGGCCCGGCGCCGGTCACAGAGGAGCCGTCCCGGGATCCGTCAGACCCGCACCGGCCGCTGAAACTCGTCCAGAGACGCCGCCGGACTCCCGTGTGACATCCGTTATTGATCCGTTCAGATCGGAGTGAATCCCCCTGGGATCCGTCAGCAGCCCATCGAACCGGTAAAAAGTGAAGGTTCCTTTATGTTACAACACGATCAAGACACAAAATGATGTTATGGCTGAGAGAAAAAAAAAAAAAAGCTCCGATATTGACCTAAAATCCAGAAGCAATCCACGCAGAACCACGATGATGGCTTTCCCACGGAATCCAGAGGAACCGCGTCCGTGTCAGGGGGGGGTGATCAGGTCCGAGCCCCCTCCGGTGCTCCGGTAATAAACCGGATCCTCCTCAACTTTTTAAGCCCACAGAAAGATGCTGCTCCTCCCTCCCTGCCTCCCTCTCTCTCTGCTCCTGCTGATGATGATGATGGTGATGGCGGTGCTGACAGTAATGACGGTAATGATGAAGCGCTCTTGATCAGCATCCCTCCATCCAGCCAGGAGGATGAGGAAGACTTGTCATTGCTCCTGTTCAGCAGCGAGTGAGTGAGTGAGTGAGTGAGTGAGTGAGTGAGTGAGTGAGTGAGTGAGTGAGTGAGTGAGTGAGTGAGTGAGTGAGTGAGTGAGTGAGTGAGTGAGTGGGCTCGCGCTGTGCGTTCACTGCCAGCGCTCGAGCTGCTGCTCCATCCGAGAGACGCGCTAACCGACAGAGAGGGGGAGGAGGGGTGAGGAAGAGGATCGGGCTGTCAGGCTTGATGTAGAGCTGCACCCACTAAACTCCGGATAGATCTTCTGTCCTGGTCGCTATGAATGGATGAACTATTAGGGGCCAGGGGCCAAGACTGGTTTTGATTTGCCAACATTACATCTACAAAGATAAGTTTTCTTTAAAGAGTGGGATTCTGGTGGGAGCCTCTGAGAGGACCCCCTCCAGTCAGCTCAATTTAACACTCAGTGGTAGAGCCTGCATGAAAAAACTATTGTCTTGGTCCACTTGGGGTCTCTGTGGAACCCCTGTATGGAGTAAAGTTTGTTCCATTATCGTTGTAAACAAAGAACACATTTTTTAAATGGACAACGGAAATTTGAATTTAAAAAGAATTGAGGGTTGAAACTTTTAAATCATTTTTTTTTTTCATTAAAAAACTTTTTCGGTTTAAATTTGTTTCCTCAAAACTGCTTTAAAAGACCAACTTTTCTTCACTTCAAGCCGAATGCAAATAAAATACGTCTTTGTTCCTCACTCCAGAGGAAAGCCCGTCTCCAGAGGTGGAGGAAATGGGATCTGTAATATGCAGTTTGAAAAGAATGCAATTCATAAAACTCATTCTGAAAAATAGATATGTGTACTAAAAATGAAAATATAAAATCGTATATATATATATATATAAATATAATAAAACATTAAAAAAAACAAATAACTTTGAGATAACAATAATGTGATGCCCAAACCTTATTTTCAGAATTCTGGATTTTTTTATTTTACATTTTAATTCACAAAATGTGTGTTTTTAAATTTCCATTTGCAAAATGTTTTCTTTCTTTTTTTTTTTTGCCTGCAAAAATAATGGAACACAATCTACCCCATACCACTTTTTTTCCTTTTAGGGACAATTATAGTACCAGACAGAGGGTGGCGCCAAATAAAAATGAGATACGTTAGGTTCAGCAGAAGAAGAAAATCAAAATAAAGAACAGTGAGCAGTGTCACATTCCTTCTGCACATGCGCCATCAGCTCATTTGCGCATGCACATCCAGTTATACATCCGGGTTGTATATTTTATATAAAAATACCTAAAGGAAGTTTCCCTCCCCAAAAATAGTAAACGTACTAAAATATAATGTGTTAACGGTAAATAATGAATTTCCTGATAAAAAAAAGATGCCTTAAAATCCCTTCTGTTTTATCACTCGTCCTGACCTGCACTGGAAATGGAATCCTACGCTACTTCCGGTGGCTAACTTTTTCGGATTTAAACATAAATCTAGTCTTTTTGAGTTTTAGGTTTTCTTTTCGTTTTAACCTTATGCTATATAGTGCGTAATCTATGAAAGAAACAACAAAATGCAGATAAACATGGTTTAATCATATTTTGCCGGACTGCTCTTAGCATGTATGATGATGACGTCATAGAAGCAGTTTAACGAAGAAAATGTAAAAAGCATGAATATTGTCTCACAAAAGTCATAAAAAATTTTCTACAGATGTGTATTAGTATTCTTTAGGGAGTTAAGGATAGAAATAAGTAGTTTTAGTACCATAATTACATTATTTATGGACACCCGGGTATATATCTATTTGTGCATGCGCAGAACGGATCGTGCTTCCGGGACGGATCGGGTTGTGACAAGCAGAGTGCTGAGGTCTTGACGGATTTTCTGTAGGAAATACCTATTCTGTCATTTCTATTATTTTATTCTCTAATCAGATTGTGTAGAGATGTAGCCGGTGGGGGTTTAAGCTGCAAACTCTACCCACTGATCAGGTTTATCTAGTGATGGTGAGATGAGGCCTCATGAGGTATTGAACCGTTTGGCCAAATTGCTTCAACAATCCCCACAGTTCATGAGGCTCCATGTGAACATGTCACCACCTACTGGTGGACTGCAGAACTACAGTTTGTAATAAAATCAGTGATTTTTTTTACAATTGCTTTTCTTTATTTTATTTAGGGTGCACAGTTTTTCTGCCATTTTAGTGAAATAAAATAAAGCAGACAATGAAATTGCTTGTGCAAATTGGGCAATGATGAGCAAAATGAAAGGTGTTAGTCATTTTTATTCAAACATAATAGTTTTTCCACATTTGTTGGTTTAAATATAGTTGGAAGGTGTTTTCAACCAATCTTTTGGCTAAACCGACGTAATTTGGCGGCGCTTTTACCTAATCTATATTTTTAGTAGGGCAATCCAATGCAAATTAGTCTCATTAGCCAAAATAATTAAGTATAATCGCAACTTTCTAAAGTCAAATGTAGGTTTTAAACCGTCAACCTCAGGAGTGGGAGTCTGTGTCTTACAGATGATGCCACTAATCTTGTTACCCGTTCAATGGGAAAAATACTAGTTAAGACTAACTTTACAACTGTATTATATGCTTTATTCTATCGAAAATAGTTTTAAGCAACTAGATTGGTTGTTTTTCCAACCAATCTATTCTTAGAATCTATCCAAACTCTATCCAGCTGACAGCAACTCCTACAAACTCCCACATCTTGACTGAAGACTGAGGCTATTT